CCGCTGTCAATACGGGCTGGTTAATGACGGGATTGAGAGCAGCCCTGCCAAGAAGGACTTAGGGGCAACTGGTGGATGAAAATCTGGGCATGAGCCAACAACGTGCGCTCACAGCCCAGAAAGCCAACCATATCCTGGGCTGCATCAAAAGAAGTGTGGCCAGCAGGTCGAGGGAGGTGATTCTGCCCCTCTACTCTGCTGAGACCTCCCTTGGAGTCTTGCGTCCAGCTCTGGAGCCCTCAGCACAAAAAGGACATGGACCTGTTGGAGCAGGTCCAGAGGAGGGCCACAGAGAGGATCAGATGGATGGAACACCTCTCCTACGAGGAAAAGCTGAGAGAGTTGGGGCTGTTCAGCCTGGAGAAGAGAAGGCTCCAGGGAGACCTTATCGTGGCCTTTCAGTACATAAAGGGGGCCTACAGGAAAGATGGGGAAAATCTTTTTAGCAAGGCCTGGTGTGACAGGACAAGGAGTAATGGCTTTAAACTAAGGGAGGGTAGATTTAGACTAGATGTAAGGAAGAATTTTTTTTATAGTGAGGGTGGTGAAGCACTGGAACGGGTTGCCCAGAGAGGCAGTAGATGCCTCATCTCTAGAAACACTCAAGGCCAGGTTGAAGTGTGGAGGTCCCATCCCTGGAAACATTCACAGCCAGGTTGGATGGGGTTCTGAGCAACCTGGTCTAGTTGAAGATGTCCCTGCTCACTGCAGGGGGGATGGGCTAGATGACCTCTAATGGCCCTTTCCAACCCAAAGCATTCTGTGACTCTACAGTAATGAAAAAAAAAGTGGCCAGTTAACACTGGGTTCTATGAAAATAATGCATAAAATTTTGAATTTATACACAGCAGAAACTCCTTCTATTACTAGTACAAAGAGTTAGATGAAGGGCTTGAAGCGTTTGACAGCTATTTAAAAATACTTCAACTTTTAAGTGGTTATAATGTACCAGCTAAAATTGGAAACTTTAAGAACCACGATAACAGACAGATGCGAGTGACCACTATCTCTAGTTCTTTATCAGGAGCAGGCTTTGCAAAGCTGTATGTTGTGGCAGAGAGACTGACTGAGGCATAAGAGTGACACTGTAGAAAGCAATACAGATAAACAGTGATATTCTCCAAACTGACATAAACTCAAAAATGATTAACTGAGACAGTCCATCCAATCTTCTTTTCTTGCAAAAGTATGACAGTGCTGAGGTGGCATCAATTTCTGACTCCATGCTTAGTCAGTTTAAATTACTTAAGCTGTGATAAAATACCGAGAAGGCACTCTTTATTAAGAAATTAACTGCAAAAATCTGCTGCTGCTTATATTGAGATTTACCATATTCTATGGTGTGCGATGAAGCAGTAAAAAAAGGAATTTATTTTTCCAGATTTCCAATGCTACTGTTGCATGAAAAACATACACACAAGGAAGACAAAACCGTTATGACTCATGTTTAGAAATAAAATTATTAAGTGATGGTATGACAGCCTCTTTGCATTTCTGAATTAAAAGAAGCTGTTTGATTCTATTACATTCTATTACACTTACCATATAAAAGATTGAATTTAGAAATAGATTAAGATTTGTTAATAGAAATCTATTTTGGACAATGATTCTAGAAGATATGTTAGAAAAAATGTAATGTGAAATTCTGTGGTAAATATTAGAGGACTAAACAATAAATATCTTCTAGACCACTCACAGCAGCTGAAATTACTGAGCTATGATGTAGACTATTCATGTTTATTTTTAAAATAATGTTAGTAAAAAATAAATATTATCTTTCATTAAAGACACTGCAATGCAATCAGAATCAGAGCTTTTAGTTAGTTATACAAACCTTTACTAGCTTTATCTAAATGCTGAAAATCCTCAACAAAATTCAGGACATCCTGGTAGTTTTCTTCACACACTTCTACAAGAAAATGGAGCAATGTTGTTGTTTGATCTGCTGACTTCGTGTCCTTCAGCTAGAGAGAAAAAAATAAATGTTACAACACTGAGAATAAGATTATTTCTGACTATTTTGATAATTAATATATATCATTAGTTGTGAAGCCAAGAAAGGTAAGAACAAACTGATGAACTGGTACAGCTCTTCTAAAGAAAACCCTAAGTAATTGGCTGTTTCCTTTCCCCTCTTGCTAAAAATCCCTAAAAAGATCACACTAAATGTTTTTTAATTCTATGTAATAATTGAGTTCTATACTCAAAAACTGTACACATTTCTCTTTTAAAAATGTAACTAATTAAGCAATATAGGAATATTTGCAAAACTGTGAATAGACTCCTGAAAGTGTATAAAAATGAAAATAAAAAACAGAGTTAAATCAGCAAAATCTAACAATACATGACACACATATTCACTCCATGACATTATCCTTATGTATGAAGCTAACTCTAGCCTAACAATATTTACGCAGTGGAAACTACAACCTCAACCTGCACAAGTTCTTGTTGTTATCATTTCTCAGTATGGCAAACAAGAGTTCATAGGCTTCACTGTTTAAAAACTTCAACTTCTAAAATTCTTATGCACAAACTTTTTTTTCTGCATCCTTTATACACACAAAATTATTTTAAGCCTGGCTGTTTCAAAACTTGCATCTACTTGTGCAAGAACACTAACAATTGGCAAACACTGTTATACATTTCTGTTGCATGCTCCTGTTTGAGTCAGTCTTTTAAATCATCGGAGAGATTTTTAGAAAATGACATACAGTGTCATTTTAAAATTACGTCTCATATGAAAGTGTTTCTTCACTACTTAAAAACTATTTCTGCATGAAACAATTTAACAGAAGAAGTATACATGTGCACAGGCACATAAGAGGAATGCACACATACTAAAGGGCTACCACAATTGCACACAGACATCTGATTATCATGGGAAAATGTCTTTAGCACATTATTACAACTAGCATAAAACAAGTGGAAAACTCATGTTAGTTTGTTTCACCTTCAAGACTGTTCTTTAGTTTGGTTATCACAAAAAATACAAGTGATCAGCAATGCTCAATGGCGTAAGAGTAACTACAGAAACCAGGCAGAAAGGAAAAATTATCTTTCTTTCCAAAGAGGGTGCAAATCCAGTCACAGAGCTCAATGTTTATTACTTCCGAATAAGGAACTGAGAGCAAGATCAATTTATATTTAAATACACATATACATTTATAATTTTTTAAAATATATAATACCACAGTTTTTCCCATGGTTGCAATTTTTTTTTCACAATTCTTGTGCTTCCCAATATCCTCAGAGATCACTCAATGGCGATTTTATTGATCCGATTTAAAAAACAAATTAGACTACATTGTTTGCTTTTCTCATATTATATGTAAATTGAAATGGAGGATTTTGGATGGTGGTTATCACTGAGGTTGATATTTCACACTTCACTCTAAAAAGTGAGTGATTACTTTCAAAGATCAAAATGACATTATCTTAATAAATATGATGAGATATACTCTTCCACAATGTATCTGTTCTCCTTCAGACAAGTGAATTAATAATAATGTGAGACCTAACTTTCAAAATAAACAAAAAATGGAATACATATATCAAAACCAACAAAATGTATTCCAGGGTCATTATTGCATACAATGTTATAAAATAAGTTACGTCTACTCTACTGGGAATCTCAGTGAAAAATGTGTCACTAATTAAAATACCACACACAATTTCTACAGTGTGACACTGCTTAAAATACATGTAGTTAACAAAAGTTAGTTTTTAAAAAAACAGTGTTATAAACATGCATATAATTTTAATATATCAGTATTTAATAAATTATTATTAGCATATCAATATCATATCTCTCTTCTGAGAATACACACGCATGTTCTCTGATGCAGAAGAAATATCACAGTTCAATTCTATGCAATGCAGGGAGAAGGCAAGATATGGAATTGTCTTCTGCAAAGTGGATAGTTCATATAGTTCCCTGTGCATAGTTGGGCACCAGTGAGGAAGAGCTGATAAACTGTATATTCTTCAAATATTACAGAAACCAGCATCTCTGAAGAACAGAAGCCACTGCAAATTTCTTAAGTTCTCGGGACCCCTACTGAAAACTGCTGTGCAGACCACCAAGCAGTGCGTAATTTGCAGCTTTCTAGTTTTGGGCCTGGAAGGAATATTGACTTGGGTGTTTTTTTCCTGCTTTAACACTAATATTCTTAATAGTTGAACCAGTTTATTATTCTCAGAACAGAGAAGATCAAGCATTAACCAAGACACTACACATAGTTAAGAAAATCTCCAAAATTACACATACATAGTTTTACCTCTGTTTCCAGACAAAGTGATGTGTCTAAGACACAATTTCATAACCAGTGAAGGCTTTGCACTCACGGACTTCCTAAACAAGGCCACAATTGGATGAGGCGAATTAGGAACTGGTGACTAGTACCCTCATACACATTGGACTGGACAGTCCAGAGTTACCTCCAAAACCTAGCTGTTCAATACTGAAGCAAGCAAGAAAAATTGTAACAGAAATCAGATCTCAATTCTCCATCAAATCTGCTGATATACTGGAATGTTGCCAAGTACCATGAAGGCAGAAAACTGTGCCTGATGTGATGAATACCTGGGTCTTTCAGTATTTGTCTGGGATAATATAAAAATATAACATTCTCAGATTATACTGGTAGTATTAATTGACTACATAGGTAGGATAGTAAATGCAAACTCACAGTGATTCTCCCTCTGAAAATCTGTCTAACTTCAAACGAACAAGTAGTCGACTGTAGGTTGCACTGTCCTTGTATCTAATGGCAGAGATCTGAAATTTTACAGGCGACCTCTAAGGTGGCCATAGTTGCTCTGCCTCCCAGAAAAATCTATAATAGTTGGTCCTTCTTTCCTAACCATAGAATGGTTTGGCTTAGCAGGGACCTTGCAAGACCATCCAGTCCGACCCCTGTGCCACGGACAGGGACATCAATGCACTAAATCAACTACTGTTAAGGCGGCATTATCTTCCCCCTTGAAAACTTTTTGAGTACCATGGTCTGGTATTCAAAAAGTAGCAATTTGAAGTGATGTCAAAGGAAAAATATATGAAATCTTTGTCACCGGAACTTTGGTTTTTTATTCCCACATTTCTTACGTAAATGAAACACATGGAGTACTATGATATATGTTTATGCTTAAATTAATGAAGTCCTGAAAGCAGTAAAACAAGTATCACCATTTCTAATCATATAACAATACAATGTCAAAATTACACTGTACTAAGCGTTTTGATACTAGGGAGCAAATAACGTTTTTTGGTCCTTATAACTTTGTGTCTGCTTCACCTGCAGACTACTGGTAGTGATCTGCACTTCTCTTGAGCAGAAGGCTGGACTAGATGCCTACTGATGTCCCTTCCCACCTGAATTCTTCCATGATTCTAAGAAACATGCACACGCTTCCCAAGTAGTTAACTAAATACTCTATTCAAAATATTGTTTATTTTAGCTCTTAATCTGGCCTCATGTGACTCTTTGAGAATTATTAGCTTATCTGGATTTCAAAAGCTTTCCACAATCATCTCCCCTATCAAGTTCTTAACTATCTTTGCAGTTGGAAAGCTTGGTTAATTTTTAAGCAAACTTCTTTTGTTACCAGCAAAGCCCATTATTCCATCTCCTACCTTAGCTACACAGAAAACAAATGTTAAATGCCTTCTTTATCACAAATTAATAACAAAGGGACACTGTTAAGTCCTCCTCATGTTCCTCTCCTTTCTTTTCTAAGCTAAACACACCCAAATGCTCTTTTCTCAATTTAGAAGTGTTACACGTTACTATCATCCGGATTCTCTCCAGTCAGTCTATATCTTTTCTGGAGTAATTCAGACAAGACTTCACTTAAAAACTTAACAGCACCAAATAAGCAACAGGTAATTACCATCTTTATAATACATAGAAGGTCCACTAAGACAGACATTTTTTTCCTCTCAAATAGAATGTTGTAACCTCCTGTAAAGCTAAATAACCTGTAAGCGTGCAAATCTAAGTAACTATGAGATCTTAGATTATCAAATGCATTTAATGGCAGAGCACTATAGAGTTAGCCAGCGCTTAAAGCCCATTTTCTGGAATTCTGCCTAGCCATTGACTCCTTACTTGCATTATCTGTACACATAAGTTCACTTTCCTATGTGTAGTACTTCATGGTAGTCTTCAAAATTTTCAACTTCTAGATATTAAATTATTTCTCCAAGATATTTTTTTAATTTTCATCCTGCTCTGCAAAGTGCCTGTGATGATTACCTACGTATTGTTTTCGTAAGTATATTTACTTTTTTGTTGCCTTGTGCATTAAAAATACAGACCTAGGATAGATTCTTGCAAAATCATACCTAAGCAGTAAATGCACCCATTCATTAGAGTGAGAACTGGAGAGAGAACTTTTAGTATCTTCCTTCTGGATACGTTTCTCAACAAATTGTACATTTAACTCAATAGTTTCATCTCTGCTGTATTTCTTTAGGTGGTTGATGCATGCTTAAATGTTTACTTTAGACTAGGGAAGGTATATAACTAATTCTCTGTGCATATTTAAGTTGTAGGTATCACATTCAACACTCGAGAACCATAGTGAAAGAATTCTTCTGAAACATGGCAGAGCAAGGGTGATTATCTTACAGAATGTAAAAGTTAACATACCGTATTTTCTTCATCGTGTAAAAAGATAAAGAAGCTGAGAGAGGACAAAGAGCATGCATAAAATTCCAGATAATTCCTTTCTCATAAGGACTATCACATACACGTGCACTCTGTGCAGATTTTGCAGTGACCTCCCAGAGGGCACAGAAAAAAAATAAAAACACTAAATAACAGGAAGGCAATTATGACTAGAATTGATTATAAATTAACACTCAGGAAAGTATAGATGTCTTCTTGTCTATACCTTATACAAAAGTTGAAAGAGTGAAAATGTAAGGAAAATTAGAAGAAACAGGGAACTGACGAAACTGCACAACAACAAAAGAGAATCAGATAAGGAAAATATTTATGTAAAAGGGAAAACAACTGTATTAAAACAGATTAAATGTGGCAGTCTTAGAAGTGCTCAGACTTGTAAGACTACAACACTACTATGATCACAGTGAAGTGGTCCTTCCATAACCTTGCTTAGTTTTTATTATTATGATTATTATTATTATTACTCCCTCTGTTTGGAATCTTCTAAAAGTTTAAACGCACGCCAGTCTCAAGATGACTGTAGACAGATAAGCTGTACTGTTCAAACCATTAATTAGTGCTAAGAATTATGAAAAACAAAACCAAACAAAAATAACTCCAAAGAATTAACTGCAGGAAAAACATCAAAACAAGGTATTTCAGCAGTGTAATAAAAAACAAATGGAAATGTGAATGTAATACTCAACATGGACATTTCAAAACTCACTTTACATAGGGAGCTGAGATTATATCCAAAGGTTTGTGCATTCCGAGAACCTGCATTCATGTAGTTTCCCATTAACAATACTAGTTCCAGCAGCTTGCTGAAGCTTTTACTCTTCTTTATCTCTTCACAGGCAGCACTCACAGCTATGATGTCAGGTTTGATGTTGTTCACCTGCTCCTCAAACTGAAGTTTAAAAAGAATAGCACTGAGCCGTGGCCGCAGTCTCTTCACGTTGCTCATCTGATTGAAAAGAAAATAGGAGACTTCCTTTAAAATTCATGCTACACTTTGGCACTGTACAAATGCATACAATCTGTAATGATTTATTGGTGTGACAGGCTTGAAGAAGCAATATATCTGCTATAACTGATAGCAAATGAACGAATGAATGAGAGACACTTGGGTAAGCAACTGAAATCCCATCTTGTGGTTAATATGAACTGCCCCCATCCTTTCCCAATAACTACTATGTGTAAGCAATAAAAGATAAAGTGTCATCATACATCACATCTGTCAACTCATATACCAAATCCTATAAAACTAATCCAAGTTTGCGACCCAGTAGTTGCAAAGTAATAAAAGTAGTTCACAAATTTTGTATAACTCAGGATGTACCAAAATAAGACAAATCTCATTTTCTGGTGCAAATACTTTAAAGCTGATTTCAATAAAAGCTTACTATAAACTTGGAGGAAAATAACAGTTTTGAAAAATCTCAGTTATGAAACACTTAATATAGCATACGTTAATATGCACCAGTATTCACACCTCACTATACTACTGGACCTTATACAGCTAATTAGGTACTACATAATGCTCCCAGGAAAACAGTAGCTTCTGTAGATCTTATGCAAAAGACTTGGCTTTTTCTATGGTTTACAGGTCAGGGATTTTCAAGAGAAGTTTCAATCTTCTCATATAACTTAGGTCACTGAATTTCCACTCCAGAGATACTTTGCATATTATTTACTACACCCAAAACAACACGGTTCCAAATTTTACTGCTTCTTTAAATTAATGAACATTAGATGTACTCAATAATTTAAATTCCTCTGTCTCCCAAGTTTCCAATGTACTACTCATCCTTCCAGCTATATCACAGAAATCTTCAAACATTTTTTAGGTTTGGCAGCACATATAATCACATAAGCTTTCTGCCTTCCATTCTTGCTCCTTTTCTCCCTACCAGGTATTGTATGCTCCTCACATTTTTTTCTTCTTCAACAGCAGAAATCATGCTTTTTTTCCTCCTGCTCTGTGGTTCTGTTTGCACATGAGATCCCTGTTTTCTCACCAATTTGATGAATTTTGTAAGATCTTCTTCCCCATACTTATATTTTTCTCTCTCAAGGCGAGGTTCAAGACAATAATGTCTTGACAATTCCTGAAATCCTAAACTAAATTTTGTTTGGGTTTTTTGTTTTGTTTTGTTTTATTTTGTTTTGTTTTTAAATAAAAAACACATTATTTGCACTTCTCTATGCAAGAAAAGAAGCAATAATATTAACCCTTCTACAAAGTAACAGGTTTCATATAGTGGCCTTGAAAGTTTGTCTTTAAATTCGAAATAACCCTCTCCAAACCACACTGATACCTAAGATTTTACAAAATATCTCTCAACCCACATCTAGTCCATCAGTGCAAAAATAGCTCTGACAGCGCAACATTCACAAGTTGTTTAGTGTTGATTATCCCACCATACACTCAGTGAAAAGGATAATGGTGACACTATTCATCCATTTCAGTGCGAAGTCAAACAAGTTATCTTAAACTGATATTGAAAGCTGTCTAATCCAAAGGGTTTGATATAGAAGCAGAAGAGGATGGAATTTACAGTCTATTTTATTGCTTTTACTGTGACAGTAGTAGAAAATAAAATCAGGTGGAGTTAACATTTTATGCTGCGAAGTCACTTCTGCAATGCCTGCCTGGCAGTGCAACCATCTGACCATGTCCCATTGAAGTAAACCTACCATCTACATTTTAGTTCAGCTAAGAAATCTTGAAGTAAAATAAGCAATCCTTTCCACTAGCCACACTTTGATTTGCATCACAGGGCAGAGCACACAAACAGGATGTCTTTCAGATGAAACTAGGCTGACAATCAACTCCACTACTGAGCTTTAGTCCACAGACTGCCTCCAGTCTGGTCCTAAAATAAAACACTGAAACATATATAGTTTGAATGTTAGCTCAGTACCAACTGTAGGCAGATATTCTGCACTCATCATACACTAAATAGCATCCAATAGTACAGCAAAACTCTTACTGAAGAATAGGTAAGCAAGGATAATGGGACCTGAATTTAAATAGGGCATTTCACAGTGAAATAGAAATGGAAATACCTAAAACCCACCTAAAATGAATGTAGTGCTCTTACAACTTTACACCCAATTTAGGAATAAATACCTAAAAGAATATTAAGGTACTGGACAGAGGCAAGTGTCACGAAGTAATTCTTCCAGCTCCATCAGAAAGATTCAGTATTAACCGCTTTTCTTCAAACAATTCACTTACTATATTTATATGTATTTATATTTACTATTACTCAGCATATTGAGAAGAATATTCTTACTCCTAAATTTTGTTCTCCATTCAGGAAAAATTTGAGACTAGACTAGAAAAACACAAAACTCCACTGAAATCATCCAGATTTTCACTATTTGTCCTTACTCAGGGTGCAACAGAGACAATCATTAATATCAAACCATGGGAGCTAACAAAATAAAGTACAAGTTGCATTGATTTTAAATGGTAACAAACTCAAGATACTACAGAACCAGCAGATGATGCTTCATTTATTGACTCTTGCCTTCTCAGACAGGCAGATTCTTGAAACTGAAATAATCAGGTACTTTAGATCACAAGGATGTGTTGTTACACAAACATCAGCAAGCACATATGCATGAAAGATGTTTTCATCAGAACCAGCTGAACTACAAGAAATTAAGAAGTTCTGTATGTAAGTCTTAACGATGGGTGCACAAATATGTAATCTAAAAAATCAGAAACAGAAGCACATGACAGAAACACAATAGAAATGCCATTGGGCTCTTTTTTATTACTGTTTTTTAAACACTGTGAAATCCCTAATTCATGTACAATGCATGTAGTTGGTACTATTTGCTTATCTATTTGCTAAGCCAATAATTAAAAAGAGACGAGATTGAGAGTTCCTTCAGCAATATATGGCTTTGTGACATGTCGTCTACAAATATATTCAAACTGTAGAATCCATACACCTTATCATAAGAGATGCTAAGAATTTAAGTGTTGTGATGTCAAGAGGCTTATGTTCATGCCTTATGCTTCTTTATACTCAGCATATAAGTACATAAGTCTACCTACATCCTCATAGTGGAATCCTGAAAATAGACAATTCAAATAACAAAAAAGGGAAAAGCTAGAGTGAGTGGACTATACATGTCAGAGAACTCAGTGTACATAATGAATTGTTCTATTTTTCAAGTAATAGTCCACAAGAATACCGTCACTATGTGCAAGTCCAAACGGAACTGAGAACTGAGTTGAGCTACCCAGTAGTAGCTTTCACAGCCCTTTATGCAACAGCAAAGAGAGGTTTTTCTCTCAAATACAGCATAAATCAGAAGGCATCATCAGGAGTGTGCCATCTGGTAAATGTGTGCTTTCACTGTCTGCTTTGTTGACGTCAAGTAAAGGAACATGTCTCAGAAGTTACACCAACATTACATTTTGGACACTGAAGGTGATTCCTTCTTACCACAAGCTCATAGAGCAAAACACTGCAAGGGTTCCAGTTTCACAATACACATTCCTTAAAGCATTAACGATTCCGAGGCTGTCAGACCACCTGAAAGTGTTCCCATCCAAACAGTAAAGTATCAGTTACAGCCAAGCTGACTAAAAGAGTAAACTGGAAGGGCATTCCCTGTAGAAAATGTATGGTTTTCATCAATGCAGCACCAGTGAACTCTACAGAGTACATAGGTAAAAAGTGTGAATACTAGACTCAGGCACTTAAAAAACAGAAAAAAAATCATGTAAGGAAGAACTAATACCTTAACAGACCTTTTATCACGTGTTTAAAGAAGAAAAAAGAATATCCTGCTCAATTTGAAATGGGCAGTCAACATGCCCAAATCTTAGCAAAGCCCACTAGCATTCTGGAAAGACCAAATATTATTTCAGTGTATGGGAAGTCAATTCATGATAATGGAACAGTATTTTTGTTAAGATGTTTTTTACAGCTATGTGGAAACAGTCACATTCTATTTTCCAAATAAATCATAATAAAGTCAGTAACTGCTAACTGAAAATTAAAATTCGTTACAAGAACTCTAAGTCTTTATGGTTACAATGTGGATAATGTGTACATGCAAACAATTGAGCTGATGACTTTTCAGCCTTACTAGCACTGACAGAGGGCACATCCTGCTACTGTTTCTCCTGCTTGAACTATAAACAGCTGGAATTTGCACTACTGACTCAATTCGTTGCAAATCAAAGATTTTTCTAAAGGATATACAGGACAGAAGAAAAGGGAGTGTACAGTAAGTGACACAGAGACAACACCTATCAGTTACCTCCTAGCTGCACAGAGGTAGCCTTCTTTTGTCTTGTGGACGACAGTGCAGTGATAATCCCTGGTACTGTTTCTCATGGCATTATATTCAACAAAGACAGGCCGGCAAGGCCAGTCTGCAGATGTCAGAAATAGGGACATTCCTTCTGAATACTCCAGAAGTCACCTGTCTTATGAAATACATCCAAAATTGCCAATGGAGGCTACAACACAGCTGTCAAAACAAGCTGAGTTTACAGTCTTCATGCTGAAATCCACAGATAGGTATGTTCTACTACGAAATGAAAGAGGTGATTTTTTTGTCTTATCCAAAAATACAATTAGATGTACTGACATCTTGATCAGAGTGGAACACAGAGACAGCTTTTGTTTCTCCAAGTTGAATTTAGACAATGGTATTGTCCTAAAAAGGAATCATCCAAGAGTGGAAGAGTCTGAATTTCCCAAATTCTTCTATTTCTAGCAGACCTAACAGATGTCGGAAAATCTATTTTTATTAAAAGCTACATATGGAGCAGATGCCACTAGTCTGAAAAGCCTTCCTCATGGGAAACCAAGTCAACAGTTTAATATAGGTAAAAATCCTCTGTAAACCTCTAATTCAGCCTGATAGCAAAAATAAATAAATTGATACCAGAAGTCAAGAGCAGAAGTCATTGAAGAATTTGAAATAGAA